ATGGGTTAATTAGGGACAGCCATGTTTTGTTATGGATTTGTTAAAGGCAAATCTTGTCTAACAAATCTAATAGAATTTTTCGACGAGGTAACGGAGAGGGTGGATAAAGGTTGTTCAGTTGATGAAGCCATGGCGGAGCAGGCACGAAGGGCCGAATGGGCTACTCCTGCTCCTAATTCTTATGTTCTTATGTTCTAAGTTTATATGCACTTTCAAAATGCATTTGACAAAGTGCCACATGAAAGACTTGTAAGAAAGATAGAAGCCCACGGTATAAAAGGGACAGTGGCAGCGGATCCAGAACTGTCTGGGAGACAGAAAACAGAGAGTTGTGGTGAACGGCTGCTTTCCTGACTGGAGGGAAGTGTACAGTGGTGTCCCCAGGGATCGGTATTAGGACCACTGGTCTTCTTAATATACATAAATGATCTGGACTTGGGTATAGCAAGTACCATTTCCAAGTTTGTGAACGACACAAAGTTAGGGAGGGGGTAAACAGTGAGAAGGATAGGAGCCGACTGCAGGAAGACAGACAGAATGGTACAATGGGCGACACATGGCAGATGAATTTCAATGTGGAGAAATGCGAAGTAATGCATTTTGGTAGAAAGAATGAGGAGAGGCAATATAGGCGGTAATACAATCTTAAGGGGTTAAAAGAACAGGGAGACCTGGGGGTGCAGGTAAATGAATCCTTGAAGGTGGCAGGACAGGGAGATACAGCTGTAAAAAGGGCATATGGGATACCAGGCCTTATAAATAGGGGCAGAGAGTACAAGAGTCAGGAGGTGATGATTAACCTATAGAAACACTGGTTAGGCCTCAGTTAGAATACTGCCCCAGTTCTGGGCACCGCACTATAGGAAGGATGTTACAGCATTGGAAAGAGTGCAGAGGAGATTTACGAGGATGGGACCAGGAATGAGGGACCGTGATGATGAGGAAAGGCTGGAGAGGCCGAGATTATTCTCATTGGAGCAGAGAAGGTTACGAGGTCTTCAAAATCATGAGGGATTTGATAGGTTAGAAAGGGAAAAACTGTTCCCACTGGTGGGTGTGTCAGTGACTCGAGGTCACAGATTCAAAATAGTCTCTATAAGAAGCCGAGGGGAGAGGTGAGAAGACATGTTTTCACGCAGTGAGTTGTTTGAATCTGGAACATTGCCTGAAAGGGCGGTCGAGGCCGATTCGATAACTTTTTTTAAAAACACGGTGGACGGGTATCTGAGGAGGACGGGTTTGCAGGTGATAGGGAAAGGGCCGGGGAGTGGGACTGCCATTAATTACTCTGTTCAAAGAGCCGCACAGACTCGATGGGCCGAATGGCCTCTTTTTGTGCTGTACAATTCTATGATTCTATGATAAAGCCATGCCAATGTCCCTTTCTAGGGTCTCAAAGTAATCTCTGGCTTCTTCCCCGGCTACATTTAGAAGATTAACAGTTTGTTGTTTACTTGCTGTTTTCTTGCTGTTTTCTTGGCAGCTGCAGCATATTGATGACTAAGGCAAATATTGTGAAATCATCCCTTTCAAACCGGTTCCAATCATGCCTCAGGTTGCCAGTTAACTTCAGTGGCCTTGGTATTTTTATGTACCTCGCTATGGCATCATATTCTTTTGTTCCCATTTGCATTTTGTTGCTTTAATTTGACTTTAAATCTCGTAGTCCAATTCAGTTCAAATTCAGCCCACTTCTGACACTATGTAAGATCACTCGATCCAAGTCACAGTGTGTTAGTAACTTCTTTATTTTGTCTTTCCAACCCCTCAATAAAGCCACTCTCTACATCACACTCCCCTTGTCTCACTGCCAGTCGTTTTTTACTTCCTCTCATTGGCTCCTAGTCAATTGACCAATTAATCCTAATTGAGTATTCAACAGGAACTATGAATCAAGATACATTTTAGCCACCGGGCAACGATCTGGACAAAATAAATCAAACGTCCCATCACATGCAATAATATAAGAACACACATAGGAATAACAAATCAGCCAGACGCTTCAACATAGCAGTGACCTTATCACAGTCCCGATTAATATCAGTAATAATAATAATCCTTGCATTTGATATAGCGCTTTTCACATGTCTCGATGTCTCAAAGCGCTTCACAGAATAGACTGTAAAGTGAATTGACTGTATATTTGTGGGCGAAACGCGGCAGCCAATTGCGCACAGCAGCGTCCCATAAACAGCCGTGGGTTGATAATGATTTATCACTGTTTTGTTTTGGAGGGATTATTATTAGGTGTGTGGAGTAAGGAAACTTGCTCACGGTTTCGCGCTGCCTGGAATTGAACCCAGGTGTCTCACTTGCAAGGCGAGTGCTCTAACCACTGAACTACAGGACTCCAGTGTCATCTTCTGCAACCTAGCACGGCCGTGGATTAAACCAACCACAACCAAGACGTCAGAGTCCAATTGTCCAATAGTTGTTAAACTCTTTTTCATCCTGACTTCAGAAAGATCACTCGTATTCCTCTGAGATGTTTGATTCTCCCGGCTTTCCTTGCTTGTGTCAGCAGCACTTTGTGACTTCAACACAGCATCAGTAATGAGGCCAAACCCAGGCAGAGATTGCCCCTTCCTCCTGTTCCTTTTCACCATTGTCCGAGCGCTCACTGTCCACAGTCTCCTGCTCACATGTCTTTGGCTGGAGTTGTGATCGTAGTTTCTTGAGTTGACCCAAAGCCACCGTGACTGCCACCTGTTTATGTGTAATAACAACTGTTGTTGTTTAAGAATCTTTAGCACCCGAGTTGGGGTGTGGAACTTTGGGCCCAAGCGATTTGCCTATTTGGTAAATCTTTTCCATTGGACTCATTCTCCAATGTTGGGTCCCCAGCCTTCATTTCATCAGGAACAGTGGATGCTTCTCCTCTGATCTTTTGAATGTCATTTTGTATTTTTTGGATGTAGCCAAATATTGTGGGATATTGTCTGTCTTTTGCAGAGAATTGGAGGATTCACTTTCCTCCCAAAGAATATTTCAAATGGTGAATAACCCAGCTTTTCTTGAATATGGTCATTGATTTGCATTGTTACCAAATTTAAAGTGTAGTGACCGTATATTTGTGGGCGAACGCGGCAGCCAATTGCACACAGCAGTCCCACAAACAGTCGCAGATTGAAAATGACCAATTTATTATTGTTTTGTTTTGGAGGGATTATTATTAGGTTACTGAGGGATTATTATTAGGTTACTGAGGGAAGTGAGGGGGAAATAGTGGAGACTCCGGCCACAATCTTTCAATCCTCCTTGGACACCGGGTGGTGCCAGAGGACTGGAGAGTTGCAAATGTTACTCCCTGTACAAAAAGAGACAAAAGGATAAACCCAAGAACGACAGACCAGTCAGCCTAACGTCAGCAGTGGGGAAACTTCCAGAGACGATAATCCGGGAGGAAATAAATTTTCAGTTGGAAAAATATAGGTTAATATAGGAGAGCCAACATAGATTTGTAAAGGCAAATCATGATGGACTAAAACAAACCTGATAGACTTTTTGATGAAGTAATGGAGAGGGTGAATGATCAGTATTGGGACCTCTGCTATTTTTGATCTGTATAAATGACCTGGACTTGGGTAGAGGGAGTACAATTTCCAGATGATACTAAGTTAGGAAAAGTAGTAAACAGTGAGGAAGATAGCAGCAGACAGCAAGGGACATAGACAGACTGGTAACGTGGGCAGACACGGGGCAGATGAAGTTTAATGTGGAGAAATGCAAAGTGATGCATTTTGAGAGGAAAAATGAGGAGAGGCAATATAAGCTGATGGTACAATCTAAAAGGGGGTGAGGGAACAGAGAGACCTGGGGGTCATATAGTAAATCTTTGAAGGTGTCAGGACAGGTAGATAAAGCTGTTAAAAAAGCATAGAGGAATCCAGGCTTTATAAATAAGCGCATAGAATACAGCTTTTAAGAGAGAAGTCGATAATTATTTGGGGAGGACAGGTTTGCAGGGCTATGGGGAAAGAGTGGGGGAGTGGGATTGATTTGGATAGCTGTTTTCAAAGAGCCGGCAGAGACATGATGGGCCAAATGGCCTCCTTCTGTGCTGTATAATTCTATGATTCTATAAAGTCCAGCACCTTGTTGACATCCCAACTGCTTTGAAAAACATTCGTTGAATGTCTTCTTTCACTCTTCTTGTATTTATCTCTTAGCACATTAACAAGTTGATTCCTCCATCAAAGCCACTGTACTGATCTGATCAACTCATTTTAGTGAACTTTACTAACCCATTGGAACCATTAATTTGATTTAATGAGACGTAGATCTTTCACATGCATAAGCTTACTGATCTTTTATTACAGTTTACTACTTAAAAGGAAACTTGTGTCAACTCATACTGCACTACAGAGTCATAAATTTAATGAAACCCTTACAATTGGCGCTCAAACAGGAACCCAGTTGTGTTGAAGTTTGACAAATACAATTTTTTTCTGACTATCGTTTAGTAGTTGTTGTAGTAGACCACTCACGGTTAGTACAACTGGAGGATTGATTGTTTGCTAATTATGGAAGAACTAATAAGTCTCTATAAACAAAAGGTTACCTAAACATGAGGAGCTATTCGAAGATAGTCCTATCTAGACCTGCAGTAGAATTTTTGCTGAGCTAAAATAAAGCATGCAAAAGCAAAGAAGGTTAAAACTAAATGGTTTAAGTCCTAACTGGTGTCAATTGTCACCAGAGGGTCACAGATTTAAGTTACCCTAACAGTTTTCCTGTGCACTTTACACAAATGATCAGTGAAGGATTTTGAGAGGCTTCCACTTTTTTGAGGTGGTATCAAATGTAGGGATTATTAACAATAAATGTTAAAATACGTACATCGTATAACCAGCCTCATCTCAGCAGCGAGCAATGCAGTAAACATGGATGGGATACAATAGTTTCAGAGTGTTAAGAGTTTTATTTTATATTTCCACAAAGTAACAAACATTCAAAATATACAACAAAAAGTTGGATTTATTTGGCCTCCTTCTGTGCTGTATAATTCTATATATTTGCCCTTCACATGGGATATGGTCTGAGAGCGCCTCACAGTGGAGGGATTGGGTATCCAGCAAGGGAGAGCAGATTGATTGACAGAGACAGAGAGGGATATGGCAGCGAGATAGAGGCAGGAAATCCCAGAGATTAGTGGTAGCGAATTCAACAACAATAAACAACAAATTGCATTTGAACAACACCTTTCACATCGGAAGGACATCCCCAGGCACTGGAAAGTGAAAGATATGCACCTGTTCCGGGAGTTAGAATCAAGGGGGCGGAGGGGGAAGATGCCTGAAGGTGTGGTCTAAGTGCATCAAATCCAAGGATTATTATTAGTAATGTAGTTATTAGTAATGTAGCAGAGGCCTTGGACAGGGACCAGAACCACAACAATACAGCTGTGCCTTTGTCGACCATAATATTGTGGATATGCTGTCAAATTTAATTTTGCAATCAGGTAAGAGACAATATTGCCCACAGGAAAACTCTCATTATGATTGACGTCCAAATTGGGCATAGCATCAAGACAGAAGTCTGCTCCAAAGAGAAGATACTTTTACTTTTGTCACTTCTTTAATTGAACCAATTTTAGAATGCAAATAAATGGATATTTTGCTAAGTTTCTCAATTCCTCCCTGAATTTGGCCTGAGTCACCACATAAATAAACATATTTGTACAAGAACTCAAGAGTTGCAACATATCGCCTGAGTATTTTAAGGCAAATGCAGCATCATTGAAATCTCTGTCGGAAAAATTGCTTGTTATGTAATAATAGAAAAAATCGATAACTCGAGTCATCCATAACAGTATAAAAATGCCTGATATGGTGAAGAGTAAAATGATGGATTTTCTACGGTTCTTTATCTCAGGGTCATTTTGACTTTGCGGTTTTGTGATTCGGATTCTTCTGCGAACTCTGCTGGCCACTGAAATGTACCGAACTGTCATGGAATTTAGCAACAAAATTAAAAAGAAAGGTATCAATGGAGTCAATATGTAGTCAATCCAATCAAATGCAATCCATTCTGGTGCAGTGAAGACTATTTCTTTGAACTGGCAAAACCATGGCACATTCTTAATTTTTATTTGAGGTTTAAAGGCAAAGAAAATCGGAATATTTTTTATGCTAAACAGCACAAATATGATAAGCGTTACCACGCGGGCAGTTCTCCAAGTGCAGTATTTTGTCTTCAGTTTGTGGCAACAAATAGCAATGAAACGATCAAAGGAGAATGCCACTGTAAACCAAACAGAAGTGTCTTTAGCTAAGTAAAGTAGGACCTTATTTAGGCTACACAGCGGTGTGATATGTAGGAATGACTCAGGATGAAATATGAAAATAATGCGTCCAAAGAGGACCGCAAAGACAAGCACCATCAGATCCGAGGCAGACATCATCACCAGATAAAGGGCGACACATTTGGAGAGACCACACTTTCCTCTGAGGAGAATTACGATTGCCATGATGTTAGCTATGAAAAAGAAAAATTCAACAGAAAATTACTCTTCTGGTCAACAGCAAAAACGACATGAGATTATGAACTTGCGCATATTGCTTTATCATCACAGACAATAATACATTGCATTCATATTCATATTTCATTCTTATTCATATATAATACATTCCATTCATATTGCCATGTGCCAAGAAAAGGAAAAATGCGATTTAACAGACAAAGTTATTTGTGGGTGCAATGTCTTAGCTACGTTAAGATGCAGATCCTATCAATTAATTATAATAGTAATCCTCGCATTTGACGTAATACCTTACCTCATCATTGAGACATCTCAAAGAGCTTCACAGAATATATCATAAAGTGTAGGTACTATGTATTCTGTGGGCAAAAGTCAGCAGCCAATTGTGCACTGTAGTGTCCCACAAACAGTCTTGGATTGAGTGACCAAATTATTATCTGCCAATCAACTAACAACCGGGTTCCTACCGATTAGGTGAACAGAGGAATATGGAGAAAGGAATCTTGTCTAAGGTTTGCCCCGGAATCAAACCGGGACCTCTTGCTTGCGAGGCGAGCTCACTAACGACTATGCTATAGGATTCCACATTTTTATTTTGAATTGGAATCAACACTTGTATAACACAATCCTTTTCAAGTGTTTACACCCTCCAAGAATCCACCCATCCTCATGGCATTCCCTGTTCTTGCCCCGTATCCTTCCTAAGGTAAATAATTCCAATGCAAAGATTATTGTTATCAATCTCTGACAGAATCGGAGAAAGGGGGGAGCGTTCCAAACCTCTACATTTGGCTCCAAGTCCCAATTTCCTTGTGTCCCTCCCACAATGGCAACTCTCTCACCTCTGAGTCAGAGGGTGTGGGTTGCCGCACTTTGGGACTAGAACTCACATTGTCTGAGATGACGCTCCAATGTAATGTATGTGTGGGGTTGGGGGATGGGGGGAGTGTGGGTCCATTGTCAGTGGTGCCGTCCTTCACATGAGACATTCAACCAAAGTCCCCCAAATCATCCCCCAAATCAAATTGGTTATTGGTTTCAGGGCTGTTAATAGGCTGTTACCTGCTGCGTTTTGCCCACAAAATACACTTTTTGCACACTTCACTTTTTTGGCCCCTGCATTCGCCTACAAATATAGTCACTCCATTACACAGTAAATCCTGGAAGTGCTTCGAGATGTCCTTCCAACTTGATAAGGTGCAGGGATTATTAATATTTTAGTTACATCTTTTATTCACATTCCTATCCAGCTGAGCCGAGATTGCACCCTTTCTGTATTATTTTTTAATTTAATTTATCATGCAATTGGCTGCCGCGATTCCCAATCAATCCACTTTACAATATATTCAGTGAGGGAGGCACTTTGAGATGTCTCAATGAACAGATAAGGGAAAAATAATAGCTATAATAATAATCCCTGCATTTGATATATCGCCTTATCAGGTCTTCGAGACGTCTCAAAACATTTTATAGAATATACTGTATAGTGAATTGACTGTATATTTTGTAGACAAAATGTGCCAGCGAATTGCACACAGCGGCATCCCACAAACAGTCAATACAATACATTCTGTTCAACAGGAAAATGGACATGAGATTATAAACTTGCTTTATCATCACAGTTGATATTGCAAGGATTATTATTATTTAATATAGAGCCAACAAACTGCATAAAATATTCCAGTTACGGCCCAACCATATTGGCCCAACCCAACAGATTCACCATAAATCCCTTCATTTTAAATTTAAAATCATGTCTGCTCTTTAGCAAACCCACTTTAACAATCCTTTGTTCCTCCACTCATTGACAGAATATGACACTATATAGAATATTCTGTAAAGCGCTTTAAAGCGTCTCAAAGATGCGATAAAGAGCTATATCAAATGCAAAGATTATTATTATTATTATTATTTAATCTCTATATTTTAAAATACATCCTTCACTTTGGTTTCCACATTTTTTCTGATTGTTCACCATACCGACCAATCGCTGTAGCTCCCTGCAATCTTTGCCACAGTTATTGATAATTCCAAATTAAGTATAATCTAAAATTGGTGGCTCACCCCACACCTGTTTATGGGATGCTGCTGTGCACAAATTGGCAGCCACAATTCGCCCACAAAATACAATGAATGGCTTTGAGACGTCTCAACGATGTGATAAAGCACTATCTCAAAAACAGGGATTAAAATAATCTGCTAATTTACGTATTATTCATTATTTTTAGTCAGCCAGTTTTCTGGACAAACCCAACTTTTAATAATTTCAATAATTTTGAACCAAAAATTTTGGTTCACTTTTTTGACAGGATAGGATATAATAATAACAATAATAATAATCCATGATATAGCCTCTTATCGCGTCATTCAGACAACCTAAAGGCTTCACAGAATATACTGTAAAGTGAATTGACCGTATATTTGTGGGCGAAACGCGGCAGCCAATCGCACACAGCAATGTCCCACAAACAGTCGTGGGTTGAAAATGACCAAGTTATTAATGTTCTGTTTTGGAGGGATTAATATTAGGCGTGTGGGGTAAGGAAACTTGCCCAAGGTTTCGCGCTGCCTGGAATTGAACCCAGGTGTCTCGCTTGCAAGACGAGCGCTCTACCACTGAGCTACAGGACTACCCTATGCAATATACATGCATAGAGTGACCAATTTCTTTTGAGGGATTTATACCCACGGAAAGCGATTTGCCAATCGACTAAGAGCCAGGTTTCTACTTACTGTTTGGTAAACAGAGGCTTGTGGACCTCGTAAACTTGCCTAAGATTTCACTTTGTCCAGGAATCAAACCCATGTCTTTTCGCTTGCAAGGTGAGTGCTCTAACTACTGAGCGACACCACCATATCTGGAGCATCAGAGTATCTTATTGGAACTTTTATTATTATTGTGAGAAGCTGATTTATGCTAATCTTATCAAACCCGATGGAAACAAGCCTCAACTATACGATCTATCCAATGCTGTACTGTTTCCACCAGTGCCTTTGTTACAGGAACAACAATAAATCGTCAGGAGAATGTCGCAAGACACTAAACAGTGAAAGGTTTGCACCCGAGCTGGGGTTCAGGGTTAAATGGCTGGGTGAGGTGGGGTGGGGTGATGACCGGAAGGCTGTTGAAGAGGGAGGTTTTGAGACTGCCCTTGAAGGAGGAAAGATAGCGGTGATAAGGCGCTATATCAACGTGTAGATTTTTTTATTGTTATTATTGTTATTTATTATTTTGTGGAATCCTGTAGCTCAGTGGTTAGAGCACTCGCTTTGCAAGTGAGAGACCTGAGTTCAATTCCAGGCAGAGGGCGAAACCTTGGGCAACTTTTCTTACTCCACACAGAGCCTAATAATAATCCCTCCAAAACCAAAACAATAATAAATTGGTTATTTTCAATCCACGACTGTTTGTGGGACATTGCTGTGCGCAATTGGCTGCCGCGTTCGCCCACAAATATACAGTCAATTCACTTTACAGTGTGTTCTGTGAAGCACTTTGGGACGTCCTCCCGACGTGAAAAGCGCTATATCAAATGCAAGGATAATTATTATTATTATTATTACTATTGGCACTAGACCAGTACAATTATTTTTAGTTTCAGAAAACTTAACACAATTTGGTTCAAAAATGTCTATGAAGAAAGGACAGGCAATAGAACAAAATCCTGGTGCAGTTTCAGATTTACTCCCGAAGTGAGAGTCACCAATCCTGGATGAAAAGTGCAGGTGAACACTAAGTTAAACGGGTGGTAATCATTAGAGTAAAAGCGTGATTAAAAGCAACTTACCAGGAATTCCAACTGCCACGAGAATTGGGAAGTAAGTAATTATGACTAGCAAGATTAACGGTTTCTTCATCCTGCGTGTAGAGAGGTTGCTGTACGTCCAGGAGGCTTCCAATATCCCCACTGAGGAAACACGTTCAAATGCACCTTATGTAAGAAGGAGAAAATCCTCCTGAGACGATTAACTTGGGCAACAGTTGATATTAGTGACAACTCTATGAACAAACACATTAAAAATAACTTATTATGTGATAACCATTACTGGTTATATTCCATTTGATTTGGCACCTGATCATGTTGTTGAGATGCTTCGCAGGCTATATTGTAAAGTGCAGTGACTGTATATATTGCAGGTGAAACACAGAAGCAAACCTGTTCCCCCAGCAATGTCCCACAAACAGCCATGAAGTGACCAACTGTGGGGGGTAGGGATTGTTGGCCGGGACACCGGGAGAGAGAAACATCCTTCTCTTTTCGAATAGTGCCGTGGGATCTTTAACAACCACCTGAACAGGCAGATGTGAGCTTGGTTTCGTATTTCATCCGAAAGACGGCATCTTGTATAACACGACCCCCCCCCAGGACTGTTATGGAGTATCACTCTGACTATCTAATACCTATTCCCGACATGGGACTTGAACCCACAACCTTCTGACTCAGAGCCGAGTCATGTAATAAAACCCATCATGAACCAATTTGAAAGGGTTGAGGTCTTTGTTTTCGATGTTTTTTTGCTTCCAGATTCTCACCCCCGCCCTCGCCCGGCTCCAATGGCTTGCCATTCCCAAGAGGATAGAGTCCAAAATCCTCATCCTCACCTGAAAAAGCCTTCCGCAGCCTTACTCCTCCCTATCTCTGTGGCCTGCTTACTCCATATAGACCTGTCCACTCCCTCCATTCAACAGGTTCTGGCCTGCTCCACGTGCCCCGCCCAGCATGCCCCCACCATAGGCTCCACTGGCTTCCAATTACCAAACGGATCGATTTCAAGTTCCCCTCACTCATCTTCAAATCCCTTTATGCCTTGGCACCTCCCTGCCTATCCAACCTGCTTACCCCCCACTCCACCACCCGCTGCCTCTCCTTGGCAGGCTCCGGCCTTCTGTTCGTACCTCGTACCCTCCGCTGCACCATCGGTGGCCGTGCTTTCAGCCACTACGCCACAAACTCTGGAACTCTCTCCCTTTATCCCCCTCCCTCCCCATCTTCGAATCCCACCTAAAGACCTTTTTTAATCGTGCTTGTGGTCACCTCCCCCTCCTTCTCTCCTGGCTCAGGGTTAGACTCTGCCACTGTCAAGCGCTCCGAGATGCAATGCCACATGAAGGGCACTATACAAATGCAAATTGTTGTTGGTGTTCAATGCCAGTCTCAAGACCTTCCTCTTTGGTCGCCCTCCTATCCCAACCCTCCCTGCCCTCTGTACCTTTTGATCCCAACCCCCAGCTCAGAAGGATGACCGATCAAAGAAGAAGGCCTTCCTCAAGCCCCCTCTATTCTCACATCAAGCACCTAGAGTGAAGAGGTCCTAGACTTCTTCACCTCAAAGATTGAAAACATCCACTTCACTGCATCATCCTCCACCCCCATGTCACCTTCCACCCCACCCAGATCATCCACACTGCTTTCTCCCTCCACCACGGCTCCTGCCACTCCACACTCCTTTGCCCCCATCTCTCCCTCCTCCCTCTCAACCATAATCACCCAGATGAAGTTCACTACCTGCTGCCTCGACCCCCGCCCCACCCAGCCACTGGTCACTCAACTCAACTCCCCCTCCTCTCCCCCTGCTGGCCAACACGGTCAACCAGTCTCTCTCCTCAGGCTCTATTCCACTCCCCCTGAAAACCGCTGTCATCACCCCCTCCTCAAACCCCACCCTCGATCCCTCTAAACTCTCACACTACCATCCCATCTCCAACCTGCCCTTCCTTGACAAAGTCCTGGAACGTAGTTTTGCAGGTCAACTTTAGTCACACCTGAGGGCGGTAAGTTAATTAGGACTTTAACCATACGAGTGCGATCCCACTAAGGTGGATGAGGGACAGGAGGCAGTGGAGGAGGACCACACTTCCTCGAGCCCCTGCAGTCTGGCTTTCGCCCAATTAGAGTTATGACCAGAGTTCCCTCTGCCTCCTTGTCCTCTCCACCATGTTTGACACTGTCGATCACGCCATCCTCCTCCACTGCCTCTCGTCCCTCATCCACCTTAGTGGGATCGCACTCGTATGGTTAAAGTCCTAATTAATTTACCGCCCCTAAACTTCCACATGTGAGTGACACACAAATCTACTTTGCCTTCTCCAGCACCAACTCCAGGTCCCTCCGATGTTCTATCAGCTTGTCTGGCAGATATCAGGGCCTGGATGAGGTTAAACTTCCTGCAGCTGAATATGGACAAGACAAAAGCCATATTTGTTGGCTCCAATCAATGTCTTCATTCCAATGGATCTGAACTCCTCAACCTCCCTGGGTTCTCCCTCAGACTCACCGAACCAGTGCGTAACCTAGGTGTCCTTTTCGATTCCAGCTGTCCTTCTTTCCTCCTCCACATCTGGTCCCTGACTCCACTGGCTCCCCATCACCCAACAGATCCACTTCAAGATCCCCTCACTCTCGTGTTCAAACAAATGCATATTGGGTAACTGTTGGAGTTTAACCTGATTGAACCACAAAGGTTGATTTTGATGGTCCTGTCCACCAGACATGTCTAGCTAGGCCCACACCACCTGCTCCTCAGACATCCAAACTCTTCCCTCCACAGGCTGCTGATTAGTCAGAACTCTGCAGCTCGTATCCTCTCCCACACCAAGCTCCAAGAGCCAATCAACCCCATCTTCCAAGAGTTGTTGCTTCCCAACTTCAGTCTTTCCTCTCCTGCCACTCCCTTTATGAACCCCTCCAATTGGATTTCCATGCTGCCCACAGTAGGGAAACAGTCGTGGGTCAAGGTGACTAATGACATTCTGTTCATCTGTAACCAGGGCCCCCTCAGTCTCCTTGTCCTCCTCGACCTCTCTGCTGCCTTAAACACTGTGGACCACTCTATCCTCCACTACCATCTCTTCTCTCTCCTCAACTTTCAAGGTTCTGTACTTGAATGGTTTAAATTCTATATCTCACAACGGCTCCACTTTACCTCCACAAAAGGCTTCTCCTCCAGCCCCCGCACCATGTAGTCTCGTGTGGTGTTCCTCAGGGCTGTCCTCGATCCTCTTCTCTTCAACCTGCACGTGCTTACTCTTGGTGACATCATCCACAAACATGGGATCAATTTTCACATGTGTGCAGATGACACCCAATTCTATCTCTCCGTCTCCATCCTTGACTCAAGGTCCACTGATGTCCTGACAGACTGCCTGGCAAATATCAAGTTCCCCCCCCTCTTTTTGGAAGTTCATGCCAGAACCCCTCTGCCTGACCCTCTCTTGCAATCTTCAAAGCCCATTACAAGACAACAATAACAACTTGCACTTATACAGGGCCCTCCATACAGGGTACTGTCTCAGAGCACTTAACAGTGGTGGAGCCTGACTCCAAGCTGAGTTGGGGGGGTTGGGGGGGCAGGGGTGAGGTGGCCGAGGAGTGGGGCGCAAGGTCAAAGAGGAAGGTTTTCAGGTGGGACTTGAAAAGGGGTCAAAGCAAAGGGATTGAGGGAGTGTGTTCCAGAATTTCCGGCCATAGTGGCTGAAAGCGTGACCTCTGATAGTGGGGCGGAGGGTGTGAGGGAAGAGCAGGAGCCAGGGGCCAGATGAGTGGAGGCGCCGGGTGGTGGACTGGGGAGAGAGGAGGTCAGAGTGGGAGGGAGGAAGGGAGGGAGGTGTCAAGAGAATGAAGGGATTTGAACACGAGAGTGAGGGGATCTTGAAGTGGATCTGTTGGGTGATGGGGAGCCAGTGGAGTCTGGGCCAGAGCTGGGGAGATGTGGGGGTGAAGTTTGGTCGGGGTCAGTATGTGGGCGGCAGAGTCTGAATGAGCTGATCTTGTGAATGGTGGAGCTGGGGAGACTGGTGAGGAGGGGGTTGGAGGAATCCAGGCGGGAGGTGACAAACACACACACGAGGGTTTTGGCTACACTTGGGGTAAGGTACGGTCAGCGGCGGAGGTGAAGAAGGTGGTCCTGGTCAGGGATCAGATGTGGGGGAGGAAGGACAGCTGGAATCGAAAAGGACACCTAGGTTACGCACTGGTTCGGTGAGTCTGAGGGAGAACCCAGGGAGGTTGAGGAGTTCAGATCCATTGGAATGAAGACATTGATTGGAGCCAACAAATATGGCTTTTGTCTTGTCCATATTCAGCTGCAGGAAGTTTAACCTCATCCAGGCCCTGATATCTGCCAGACAAGCTGATAGAACATCGGAGGGACCTGGAGTTGGTGCTGGAGAAGGCAAAGTAGATTTGTGTGTCACTCACATGTGGAAGTTTAGGGGCGGTAAATTAATTAGGACTTTAACCATACGAGTGCGATCCCACTAAGGTGGATGAGGGACGAGAGGCAGTGGAGGAGGATGGCGTGATCGACAGTGTCAAACATGGTGGAGAGGACAAGGAGGCAGAGGGAACTCTGGTCATAACTCTAATTGGGCGAAAGCCAGACTGCAGGGGCTCGAGGAAGTGTGGTCCTCCTCCACTGCCTCCTGTCCCTCATCCACCTTAGTGGGATCGCACTCGTATGGTTAAAGTCCTAATTAACTTACCGCCCTCAGGTGTGACTAAAGTTGACCTGCAAAACTACGTTCCAGGACTTTGTCAAGGAAGGGCAGGTTGGAGATGGGATGGTAGTGTGAGAGTTTAGAGGGATCGAGGGTGGGGTTTGAGGAGGGGGTGATGACAGCGGTTTTCAGGGGGAGTGGAATAGAGCCTGAGGAGAGAGACTGGTTGACCGTGTTGGCCAGCAGGGGGAGAGGAGGGGGAGTTGAGTTGAGTGACCAGTGGCTGGGTGGGGCGGGGGTCGAGGCAGCAGGTAGTGAACTTCATCTGGGTGATTATGGTTGAGAGGGAGGAGGGAGAGATGGGGGCAAAGGAGTGTGGAGTGGCAGGAGCCGTGGTGGAGGGAGAAAGCAGTGTGGATGATCTGGGTGGGGTGGAAGGTGACATGGGGGTGGAGGATGATGCAGTGAAGTGGATGTTTTCAATCTTTGAGGTGAAGAAGTCTAGGACCTCTTCACTCTAGGTGCTTGATGTGAGAATAGAGGGGGCTTGAGGAAGGCCTTCTTCTTTGATCGGTCATCCTTCTGAGCTGGGGGTTGGGATCAAAAGGTACAGAGGGCAGGGAGGGTTGGGATAGGAGGGCGACCAAAGAGGAAGGTCTTGAGACTGGCATTGAACACCAACAACAATTTGCATTTGTATAGTGCCCTTCATGTGGCATTGCATCTCGGAGCGCTTGACAGTGGCAGAGTCTAACCCTGAGCCAGGAGAGAAGGAGGGGGAGGTGACCACAAGCACGATTAAAAAAGGTCTTTAGGTGGGATTCGAAGATGGGGAGGGAGGGGGATAAAGGGAGAGAGTTCCAGAGTTTGTGGCGTAGTGGCTGAAAGCACGGCCACCGATGGTGCAGCGGAGGGTACGAGGTACGAACAGAAGGCCGGAGCCTGCCAAGGAGAGGCAGCGGGTGGTGGAGTGGGGGGTAAGCAGGTTGGATAGGCAGGGAGGTGCCAAGGCATAAAGGGATTTGAAGATGAGTGAGGGGAACTTGAAATCGATCCGTTTGGTAATTGGAAGCCAGTGGAGCCTATGGTGGGGGCATGCTGGGCGGGGCACGTGGAGCAGGCCAGAACCTGTTGAATGGAGGGAGTGGACAGGTCTATATGGAGTAAGCAGGCCACAGAGATAGGGAGGAGTAAGGCTGCGGAAGGCTTTTTCAGGTGAGGATGAGGATTTTGGACTCTATCCTCTTGGGAATGGCAAGCCATTGGAGCCGGGCGAGGGCGGGGGTGAGAATCTGGAAGCAAAAAAACATCGAAAACAAAGACCTCAACCCTTTCAAATTGGTTCATGATGGGTTTTATTACATGACTCGGCTCTGAGTCAGAAGGTTGTGGGTTCAAGTCCCATGTCGGGAATAGGTATTAGATAGTCAGAGTGATACTCCATAACAGTCCTGGGGGGGGGTCGTGTTATACAAGATGCCGTCTTTCGGATGAAATACGAAACCAAGCTCACATCTGCCTGTTCAGGTGGTTGTTAAAGATCCCACGGCACTATTCGAAAAGAGAAGGATGTTTCTCTCTCCCGGTGTCCCGGCCAACAATCCCTACCCCCCACAGTTGGTCACTTCATGGCTGTTTGTGGGACATTGCTGGGGGAACAGGTTTGCTTCTGTGTTTCACCTGCAATATATACAGTCACTGCACTTTACAATATAGCCTGCGAAGCATCTCAACAACATGATCAGGTGCCAAATCAAATGGAATATAACCAGTAATGGTTATCACATAATAAGTTATTTTTAATGTGTTTGTTCATAGAGTTGTCACTAATATCAACTGTTGCCCAAGTTAATCGTCTCAGGAGGATTTTCTCCTTCTTACATAAGGTGCATTTGAACGTGTTTCCTCAGTGGGGATATTGGAAGCCTCCTGGACGTACAGCAACCTCTCTACACGCAGGATGAAGAAACCGTTAATCTTGCTAGTCATAATTACTTACTTCCCAATTCTCGTGGCAGTTGGAATTCCTGGTAAGTTGCTTTTAATCACGCTTTTACTCTAATGATTACCACCCGTTTAACTTAGTGTTCACCTGCACTTTTCATCCAGGATTGGTGACTCTCACTTCGGGAGTAAATCTGAAACTGCACCAGGATTTTGTTCTATTGCCTGTCCTTTCTTCATAGACATTTTTGAACCAAATTGTGTTAAGTTTTCTGAAACTAAAAATAATTGTACTGGTCTAGTGCCAATAGTAATAATAATAATAATAATAATCCTTGCATTTGATATAGCGCTTTTCACGTCGGGAGGACGTCCCAAAGTGCTTCACAGAACACACTGTAAAGTGAATTGACTGTATATTTGTGGGCGAACGCGGCAGCCAATTGCGCACAGCAATGTCCCACAAACAGTCGTGGATTGAAAATAACCAATTTATTATTGTTTTGGTTTTGGAGGGATTATTATTAGGCTCTGTGTGGAGTAAGAAAAGTTGCCCAAGGTTTCGCCCTCTGCCTGGAATTGAACTCAGGTCTCTCACTTGCAAAGCGAGTGCTCTAACCACTGAGCTACAGGATTCCACAAAATAATAAATAACAATAATAACAATAAAAAAATCTACACGTTGATATAGCGCCTTATCACCGCTATCTTTCCTCCTTCAAGGGCAGTCTCAAAACCTCCCTCTTCAACAGCCTTCCGGTCATCACCCCACCCCACCTCACCCAGCCATTTAACCCTGAACCCCAGCTCGGGTGCAAACCTTTCACTGTTTAGTGTCTTGCGACATTCTCCTGACGATTTATTGTTGTTCCTGTAACAAAGGCACTGGTGGAAACAGTACAGCATTGGATAGATCGTATAGTTGAGGCTTGTTTCCATCGGGTTTGATAAGATTAGCATAAATCAGCTTCTCACAATAATAATAAAAGTTCCAATAAGATACTCTGATGCTCCAGATATGGTGGTGTCGCTCAGTAGTTAGAGCACTCACCTTGCAAGCGAAAAGACATGGGTTTGATTCCTGGACAAAGTGAAATCTTAGGCAAGTTTACGAGGTCCACAAGCCTCTGTTTACCAAACAGTAAGTAGAAACCTGGCTCTTAGTCGATTGGCAAATCGCTTTCCGTGGGTATAAATCCCTCAAAAGAAATTGGTCACTCTATGCATGTATATTGCATAGGGTAGTCCTGTAGCTCAGTGGTAGAGCGCTCGTCTTGCAAGCGAGACACCTGGGTTCAATTCCAGGCAGCGCGAAACCTTGGGCAAGTTTCCTTACCCCACACGCCTAATATTAATCCCTCCAAAACAGAACATTAATAACTTGGTCATTTTCAACCCACGACTGTTTGTGGGACATTGCTGTGTGCGATTGGCTGCCGCGTTTCGCCCACAAATATACGGTCAATTCACTTTACAGTATATTCTGTGAAGCCTTTAGGTTGTCTGAATGACGCGATAAGAGGCTATATCATGGATTATTATTATTGTTATTATTATATCCTATCCTGTCAAAAAAGTGAACCAAAATTTTTGGTTCAAAATTATTGAAATTATTAAAAGTTGGGTTTGTCCAGAAAACTGGCTGACTAAAAATAATGAATAATACGTAAATTAGCAGATTATTTTAATCCCTGTTTTTGAGATAGTGCTTTATCACATCGTTGAGACGTCTCAAAGCCATTCATTGTATTTTGTGGGCGAATTGTGGCTGCCAATTTGTGCACAGCAGCATCCCATAAACAGGTGTGGGGTGAGCCACCAATTTTAGATTATACTTAATTTGGAATTATCAATAACTGTGGCAAAGATTGCAGGGAGCTACAGCGATTGGTCGGTATGGTGAACAATCAGAAAAAATGTGGAAACCAAAGTGAAGGATGTATTTTAAAATATAGAGATTAAATAATAATAATAATAATAATCTTTGCATTTGATATAGCTCTTTATCGCATCTTTGAGACGCTTTAAAGCGCTTTACAGAATATTCTATATAGTGTCATATTCTGTCAATGAGTGGAGGAACAAAGGATTGTTAAAGTGGGTTTGCTAAAGAGCAGACATGATTTTAAATTTAAAATGAAGGGATTTATGGTGAATCTGTTGGGTTGGGCCAATATGGTTGGGCCGTAACTGGAATATTTTATGCAGTTTGTTGGCTCTATATTAAATAATAATAATCCTTGCAATATCAACTGTGATGATAAAGCAAGTTTATAATCTCATGTCCATTTTCCTGTTGAACAGAATGTATTGTATTGACTGTTTGTGGGATGCCGCTGTGTGCAATTCGCTGGCACATTTTGTCTACAAAATATACAGTCAATTCACTATACAGTATATTCTATAAAATGTTTTGAGACGTCTCGAAGACCTGATAAGGCGATATATCAAATGCAGGGATTATTATTATAGCTATTATTTTTCCCTTATCTGTTCATTGAGACATCTCAAAGTGCCTCCCTCACTGAATATATTGTAAAGTGGATTGATTGGGAATCGCGGCAGCCAATTGCATGATAAATTAAATTAAAAAATAATACAGAAAGGGTGCAATCTCGGCTCAGCTGGATAGGAATGTGAATAAAAGATGTAACTAAAATATTAATAATCCCTGCACCTTATCAAGTTGGAAGGACATCTCGAAGCACTTCCAGGATTTACTGTGTAATGGAGTGACTATATTTGTAGGCGAATGCAGGGGCCAAAAAAGTGAAGTGTGCAAAAAGTGTATTTTGTGGGCAAAACGCAGCAGGTAACAGCCTATTAACAGCCCTGAAACCAATAACCAATTTGATTTGGGGGATGATTTGGGGGACTTTGGTTGAATGTCTCATGTGAAGGACGGCACCACTGACAATGGACCCACACTCCCCCCATCCCCCAACCCCACACATACATTACATTGGAGCGTCATCTCAGACAATGTGAGTTCTAGTCCCAAAGTGCGGCAACCCACACCCTCTGACTCAGAGGTGAGAGAGTTGCCATTGTGGGAGGGACACAAGGAAATTGGGACTTGGAGCCAAATGTAGAGGTTTGGAACGCTCCCCCCTTTCTCCGATTCTGTCAGAGATTGATAACAATAATCTTTGCATTGGAATTATTTACCTTAGGAAGGATACGGGGCAAGAACAGGGAATGCCATGAGGATGGGTGGATTCTTGGAGGGTGTAAACACTTGAAAAGGATTGTGTTATACAAGTGTTGATTCCAATTCAAAATAAAAATGTGGAATCCTATAGCATAGTCGTTAGTGAGCTCGCCTCGCAAGCAAGAGGTCCCGGTTTGATTCCGGGGCAAACCTTAGACAAGATTCCTTTCTCCATATTCCTCTGTTCACCTAATCGGTAGGAACCCGGTTGTTAGTTGATTGGCAGATAATAATTTGGTCACTCAATCCAAGACTGTTTGTGGGACACTACAGTGCACAATTGGCTGCTGACTTTTGCCCACAGAATACATAGTACCTACACTTTATGATATATTCTGTGAAGCTCTTTGAGATGTCTCAATGATGAGGTAAGGTATTACGTCAAATGCGAGGATTACTATTATAATTAATTGATAGGATCTGCATCTTAACGTAGCTAAGACATTGCACCCACAAATAACTTTGTCTGTTAAATCGCATTTTTCCTTTTCTTGGCACATGGCAATATGAATGGAATGTATTATATATGAATAAGAATGAAATATGAATATGAATGCAATGTATTATTGTCTGTGATGATAAAGCAATATGCGCAAGTTCATAATCTCATGTCGTTTTTGCTGTTGACCAGAAGAGTAATTTTCTGTTGAATTTTTCTTTTTCATAGCTAACATCATGGCAATCGTAATTCTCCTCAGAGGAAAGTGTGGTCTCTCCAAATGTGTCGCCCTTTATCTGGTGATGATGTCTGCCTCGGATCTGATGGTGCTTGTCTTTGCGGTCCTCTTTGGACGCATTATTTTCATATTTCATCCTGAGTCATTCCTACATATCACACCGCTGTGTAGCCTAAATAAGGTCCTACTTTACTTAGCTAAAGACACTTCTGTTTGGTTTACAGTGGCATTCTCCTTTGATCGTTTCATTGCTATTTGTTGCCACAAACTGAAGACAAAATACTGCACTTGGAGAACTGCCCGCGTGGTAACGCTTATCATATATGTGCTGTTTAGCATAAAAAATATTCCGATTTTCTTTGCCTTTAAACCTCAAATAAAAATTAAGAATGTGCCATGGTTTTGCCAGTTCAAAGAAATAGTCTTCACTGCACCAGAATGGATTGCATTTGATTGGATTGACTACATATTGACTCCATTGATACCTTTCTTTTTAATTTTGTTGCTAAATTCCATGACAGTTCGGTACATTTCAGTGGCCAGCAGAGTTCGCAGAAGAATCCGAATCACAAAACCGCAAAGTCAAAATGACCCTGAGATAAAGAACCGTAGAAAATCCATCATTTTACTCTTCACCATATCAGGCATTTTTATACTGTTATGGATGACTCGAGTTATCGATTTTTTCTATTATTACATAACAAGCAATTTTTCCGACAGAGATTTCAATGATGCTGCATTTGCCTTAAAATACTCAGGCGATATGTTGCAACTCTTGAGTTCTTGTACAAATATGTTTATTTATGTGGTGACTCAGGCCAAATTCAGGGAGGAATTGAGAAACTTAGCAAAATATCCATTTATTTGCATTCTAAAATTGGTTCAATCAAAGAAGTGACAAAAGTAATAGTATCTTCTCTTTGGAGCAGACTTCTGTCTTGATGCTATGCCCAATTTGGACGTCAATCATAATGAGAGTTTTCCTGTGGGCAATATTGTCTCTTACCTGATTGCAAAATTAAATTTGACAGCATATCCACAATATTATGGTCGACAAAGGCACAGCTGTATTGTTGTGGTTCTGGTCCCTGTCCAAGGCCTCTGCTACATTACTAATAACTACATTACTAATAATAATCCTTGGATTTGATGCACTTAGACCACACCTTCAGGCATCTTCCCCCTCCGCCCCCTTGATTCTAACTCCCGGAACTGGTGCATATCTTTCACTTTCCAGTGCCTGGGGATGTCCTTCCGATGTGAAAGGTGTTGTTCAAATGCAATTTGTTGTTTATTGTTGTTGAATTCGCTACCACTAATCTCTGGGATTTCCTGCCTCTATCTCGCTGCCATATCCCTCTCTGTCTCTGTCAATCAATCTGCTCTCCCTTGCTGGATACCCAATCCCTCCACTGTGAGGCGCTCTCAGACCATATCCCATGTGAAGGGCAAATATATAGAATTATACAGCACAGAAGGAGGCCAAATAAATCCAACTTTTTGTTGTATATTTTGAATGTTTGTTACTTTGTGGAAATATAAAATAAAACTCTTAACACTCTGAAACTATTGTATCCCATCCATGTTTACTGCATTGCTCGCTGCTGAGATGAGGCTGGTTATACGATGTACGTATTTTAACATTTATTGTTAATAATCCCTACATTTGATACCACCTCAAAAAAGTGGAAGCCTCTCAAAATCCTTCACTGATCATTTGTGTAAAGTGCACAGGAAAACTGTTAGGGTAACTTAAATCTGTGACCCTCTGGTGACAATTGACACCAGTTAGGACTTAAACCATTTAGTTTTAACCTTCTTTGCTTTTGCATGCTTTATTTTAGCTCAGCAAAAATTCTACTGCAGGTCTAGATAGGACTATCTTCGAATAGCTCCTCATGTTTAGGTAACCTTTTGTTTATAGAGACTTATTAGTTCTTCCATAATTAGCAAACAATCAATCCTCCAGTTGTACTAACCGTGAGTGGTCTACTACAACAACTACTAAACGATAGTCAGAAAAAAATTGTATTTGTCAAACTTCAACACAACTGGGTTCCTGTTTGAGCGCCAATTGTAAGGGTTTCATTAAATTTATGACTCTGTAGTGCAGTATGAGTTGACACAAGTTTCCTTTTAAGTAGTAAACTGTAATAAAAGATCAGTAAGCTTATGCATGTGAAAGATCTACGTCTCATTAAATCAAATTAATGGTTCCAATGGGTTAGTAAAGTTCACTAAAATGAGTTGATCAGATCAGTACAGTGGCTTTGGTGGAGGAATAATAATAATAATAATAATCCTTGCATTAGATATAGCGCTTTTCACATCAGGAGGACGTCCCAAAGCGCTGCACAGAACACACTGTAAAGTGAATTGACTGTATATTTGTGGGCGAACGCGGCAGCCAATTGCGCACAGCAATGTCCCACAAACAGTCGTAGATTGAAAATGACCAATTTATTATTGTTTTTGGTTTTGGAGGGATTATTATTAGGCTCTGTGTGGAGTAAGGAAACTTGCCCAAGGTTTCACCCTCTGCCTGGAATTGAACTCAGGTTTCTCACTTGCAAAGCGAGTGCTCTAACCACTGAGCTACAGGACTCCACCGAATCAACTTGTTAATGTGCTAAGAGATAAATACAAGAAGAGTGAAAGAAGACATTCAACAAATGTTTTTCAAAGCAGTTGGGATGTCAACAAGGTGCTGGACTTTATAGAATCATAGAATTATACAGCACAGAAGGAGGCCATTTGGCCCATCATGTCTCTGCCGGCTCTTTGAAAACAGCTATCCAAATCAATCCCACTCCCCCACTCTTTCCCCATAGCCCTGCAAACCTGTCCTCCCCAAATAATTATCGACTTCTCTCTTAAAAGCTGTATTCTATGCGCTTATTTATAAAGCCTGGATTCCTCTATGCTTTTTTAAGAGCTTTATCTACCTGTCCTGACACCTTCAAAGATTTACTATATGACCCCCAGGTCTCTCTGTTCCCTCACCCCCTTTTAGATTGTACCATCAGCTTATATTGCCTCTCCTCATTTTTCCTCTCAAAATGCATCACTTCGCATTTCTCCACATTAAACTTCATCTGCCCCGTGTCTGCCCACGTTACCAGTCTGTCTATGTCCCTTGCTGTCTGCTGCTATCTTCCTCACTGTTTTCTACTTTTCCTAACTTAGTATCATCTGGAAATTGTACTCCCTCTACCCAAGTCCAGGTCATTTATACAGATCAAAAATAGCAGAGGTCCCAATACTGATCATTCACCCTCTCCATTACTTCATCAAAAAGTCTATCAGGTTTGTTTTAGTCCATCATGATTTGCCTTTACAAATCTATGTTGGCTCTCCTATATTAACCTATATTTTTCCAACTGAAAATTTATTTCCTCCCGGATTATCGTCTCTGGAAGTTTCCCCACTGCTGACGTTAGGCTGACTGGTCTGTCGTTCTTGGGTTTATCCTTTTGTCTCTTTTTGTACAGGGAGTAACATTTGCGTTTGCCCACAAATATACGGTCACTACACTTTACAATCTATTCTGTGAAGCGCTTTGAGACGTCTAGAAGACGTGAAAAGCGCTATATGAAATGCAAGGATTATTATTAATATTATTAACCTAGGATGCATCTCGTCCAGACCGGTGACTTATCTACCTTGAGCACCATCAATCGTTTTAGTACCTCCTCTCAGTTTATTCTTATCTTATCCAATTTCTCTACTCTCTCCTCCGATACCGTGGCATTGGCTCCATCCTTTTCTTTTGTGAAGACAGATGCAAAGTCCTCATTCAGTACATCAGCCACGCCCTCTGCCTCCACAGGAAGATTTCCTCTTTGGTCCCTAATTGGACCCATCCTACCTTTGACTAACCTTTTATTCTTTATATGCTTACAAAATACCCTTTTGTTACTCGCTAACCTTTTCTCATACAATCGCTTTGCCCCTCTTATTTCCTTTCTCAGTTCTCCTCTGTACTTTCTGTATTCTATTTGTGTTTTTGACCTGACATTTATCATAAACCTCCTTTTTCTGTTTTATTTTAATCCCAATTAATTTAATCCCAATTTAATCCCAATCCCAGTTTGATACCCTACCTTTCCCCTTCGTGGGAATGTATTTATTCTGTCCCCGAACTATCTCCTCCTTGAAGACTTCCCATTGCTCGTTAGCTTCCATCTTTCTTTCCAGTCCACCTTGGCTACGTCCCTTTTTAACTCATTGAAATTAGCCCAGGAAGGCTAATATCTGTTTCTTTTAACAACTGTTTTAAAAGGGTTACCGACCCACCCACAATTGGAAACAGTTCACCCTATCAAATACCCTGGGGATGTGAGGAGAATTTTTTTGGATCTGGAATGCATTGCCTGAAGGAGGGGTGGAAGCTGATTCGATGACAACTTTAAAGATAATTATTTGGGGAGGCACATTTGCAGAGCTTTGGGGAGAGCGCAGGGGAGTGGGGTTGATCAGGGCTATGGGGAGAGAGAGGGGGAGTGGGGTTGATCAGGGCTGTGGGGAGAGAGCGGGGGAATGGGGTTTATCAGGGCTATGGGGAGAGCGCGGGGGAGTGGGGTTGATCAGGGCTATGGGGAGAGAGCGGGGGAGTGGGGTTGATCAGGGCTATGGGGAGAGAGCGAGGGAGTGGGGTTGATCAGGGCTATGGGGAGAGAGTGGGGGAGTGGGGTTGATCAGGCTATGGGGAGAGCGCGGGGGAGTGGGGTTGATCAGGGCTATGGGGAGAGAGCGGGGGAGTGGGGTTGATCACGGCTATGGGGAGAGAGCGGGGGAGTGGGGTTGATCAGGGCTATGCCGAGAGAGTGGCAATTGACAGCAGTCAATTTCGCACAGCAGTGTCCCACAAACAGTCATGGATTGAAGTTTATTACAGCAACAACAAAACAACAACAAAATTACATTTGTTATTATTATTATTTTTTGAAGGAATTATTACCCCCGAATAAACGATCTGCCAGTCGACTAATATCCTGGTTCCTACTTACCGCTAGGTAAACAGAGGTGTGCGGAGTGAGGAAACTTGTCCAACAATTTTAACCTGCCAGGAATCGAACCTAGGTCCTCTGCTTGCGAGGTGAGTGCTCTAACCACTAAGCTACAGGACTCCACAAGTCGATTCCTCAAATGACCAAGTTGTCTTCCTTGGGGGAGGAGGGGTGAGGGGAGGGGAGGCGGAGCGGGGAGGGAATGAAGCACTATCACCTGCCACAATTTGGAGAAGAAGAAGAATACATACACACACAAGATTTCATTTATGGACTCTCAAAACCACCCCCTACCTCGTATAAGGTGCTAAAGGTGATAATACTGCAATGGATCTTGTCAGACTTGGGTTACAGGAACAGGAATCGTGATCGTCAGGATTGTTAGCGGGTCTTTTGAAGAACAATCTGCACACTCGGTGACTCTACAATGTCAATCCACTCAGAAAGCAGAAGTTCTTGCCCTAAAAAAGGCCTTAGAGCATATTGCTAAATCTGAGGCGACTGTAATTGTTACTGACTCAGTAAATGTCTGGATAGCGTATGAGGAGTCTCTAGATCTGTGGCTGGACAATCACAAGCAAAAACCCCTGGTTCATGGGGAAATATGGAAAGGAATTTTGGAACTGAAGCAGAAACATCCCAAATGGAGCTTATAGCAATAATTATTATATAATACATACCATGGGGTGTCAAACTATGGTTATCCATATAAGAAGAAATGTGCGCTCTGATGTGCTGAACAAAGCAGCCTGCTTTGGGTTAAAACCAAACCGGAAGTCTCTGTACTCACTCAAGGACAGAAGGTGAGGCAGGAAGGCCTATCCATGGATAATAACCTTAAAATGGTTTATCAATTGTACTCCAACAACCCCAAGGAATTACCTCCCTG